GAGAGAGTACTGTGGTTTCAGAGCTCAGCCGGATCTTCCTACGCGAGAGGAGGAGACGCTGGGGAGAGAGCTGCACAAAAACAAAACCCAGCTCAGTTTTGTTCATGCGGCTTTTATTTTTTTCTGTTTTTGCCTTTGTTTTATTAAAACTTCAAACTTTCAGAATGTTTGTCAAAATAATAAAAAAGGATATTTTTATTTTGCCCATTCTGTACCAAGATTTTAGCCTCTGTGTCTCTGTCTCTGCAATTTTGTTTTGTTTGTTTTTGTTTGGGGCAAAGAAGTTGGTCATGTACTATCCCTTGAAAACTTCCTACACTTACATGCATATTGTTTGAGAATAAAATCATTTTTCATTTTTTCTGAAATGTGGAAGTTTAATATTAGTACTGTTATTTAATCTGTACATTGTATTCATATTTTGCCACTGCCCTAGTGTCTTTTGCAGATGCTGATTCACTTTTCTACATTATATCCAGTTCAGGCACTGATGTTACATGTTGTTATCAGGGACCTTTCAGTTTGCTTTAATTCAGAATTACCTTCTTGGTTATTCTTTATCTCTCACTTCGTGACATTTTTGGAGGCTACAAGCTAGTTGCTTTGTAGAACTTCTCTCACACTGGCTTTGATGTTTTCTTATGAGGTTCCGTTGCATTGGGGGGGTCAGGAATATTACATAAGTGATTGCTCTGGCTTGTATATGGTTTGTCCCCCAAAGGTTTACACATTGGAAGCCTGGCCTCTGATGTCAGTAGTGCTATTCAGTAGTGAAGGGACCTTTAACAACCTCGGCTTACTGGAAGTGACTGGGACATGTCTGCCCTCTGGAAGGGACTGGTGATACCTAGAGGAATACGCTAGTTCTCATGGAGTGGATCAGCTCCTTTAAGAGCAGATGGGTAGGACAGAGGCGCTCCTTCTGGTCTCTTGCTTCCTTTCCTGCTGTACTATATGTAACATGACAGAGGCCCTCATCAGATGTGGTTACCAGACCTGGACTGCAGCACTGTGAGACAAAATAAACCTCTTTGCTTTATAAAATACGCAACCTCCAGTATTTCGTTGCCACAACAAATGGAGTAAAACACTGATATCATAACTTAGAGCAAGAGATCCAGAGGAGCAAGTTAAAATTGCATTAGTAATTTTAATCTGGTCACTCAGTTAGGCAGGCAGCAGCCAGGCCTGTCCATAATAAAGTTTCAGATTTTGCCTTTGTGATTAATATGAGGTGATGCTTTGAGATGATATCAATATCTGATTTTTCCATGTAAAACTTTCTCTTACTACTTTTAGCATCCAACTCCAGAGTTCCTCTTTCAGTTGATCTGGGCCAGGGCCAAAGTATTTCTATTTCTAACAAGTTTCTAATCAAAAGATGAATGTTCTAAATTTAATTTGGCTCCTTCTCATTTCTGAGTTTTTCTGTGGATACCTAGCAAATGAAACAATGGTGGATAATGTATGGTCCCCATTAGCAAAAGATGGACTTCGCATGCGGCTAATGATCCTTGATTTACCTCATTATCCTCTCATGTTTCCAATATAAGAAACAGTTCTTTCCAATCGTGATCCAATTTGTTATCCAGTCCATGGAATGAAAGTAAAATTTTTCACACTTCATCTGCTAGATGTGAGGTGTGACATTACTGTGATTGTTATTATCAGTTCAGTTTAGAAAGTAGTCATTGAAAATAATTTTTGGTGATAAGAAGACTACACATTGTTGGAGAACAGAGTATGAACTAAAATGTAGTTGGCATTATTTTTGAGACCCTCCCACACATAATAATTGCCTCCACACAATCTGCAATTTTTCCACCAATCAACTGCACTTTGGTACTGTAGTTGTCAAACTTTACATTTTTATAAATGCAGAACTAGAATAATTAAATCACAACAATTTTTTGACAAAGGTGATACTGATCCTAAGGTGATACACACACACACACACACACACACACACACACACACACACACACACATGTTCAGTGTGGCCCTGCTTATCTTTTCTCATTGCCGTTTAAGTTTAGCTACATGTTAGAAATATTTATATTTTTCTGAAATGTAGCTTATGTGTCTTAGGTTTGTTTTTTTTTGACAAATGAATGCTCTAAATTTTTGCTGTGTTTTCATAATCTGTGGGAAATATTTATTCAGATATTAAAATTATCAAATGTAAAGCACATTTGCTTGTATTGGATCCTTAGGAAATACTAAAGCAAATCTTGGAAACTGAAAGATGGTGAAACCATTTCTATTGAACAAGTAGCAATACAGACCAGGTGAGCGATTAGACGGAAAATGTTGTTCCAGATTCAAACCTGAAATTTTATGGCTGTAACTTGAACCTGAGTGGTGAGGAAAATCCTTTGAGTTTTCAATTGGACAAAATTGGAATAAAATTAAATTCTGAACATACCCTATTTTGCTTTATTGACTTAACAGAATAACCACATCATCGATAATAAATACAGATAAATTCAGTTTTTGAAAAGATTTGTGATATACATAAACTCTAAGTCAAAGCTGAAAATGAGTGTAAAAATCTTTTAATACAAGAGCATTTTCAAATTGGATATCTAGAGCTTATGTATCAAAAGTTTTAAAATTAATTTTTAAAAAGGCTTTCTGGCATTTCTGAACTTTTGACTTTATGCTTACCCAAAACTTCAAATTTACTAGTAATGAAATAGTAACTCTAAGAAGATTAGAGGCAATTTTAGGAAGATACAGCAGACCCTTGACTTAGAACTCAAGTTGGTCAGTGAAGACTCAGGGTCCTCTCCACAGCCTTCAAAGTCTCGCTCCCGTGCCCAGGCAGATCTCAGGGTCCTCAGGGAGACTCTGGCCCAGGATTTCTCATTGAACCCCACACAGGAAAGATGTCGTCATGTTCCTTCCAGAACTATTTAAGGGTTAAATCTGTGTCTGAGACCATCTGAAAGCACAAGAAGCTGACGTTTGGGTCGTAACTCAAATGTTTGTTTTTGGTTAAAACTAAAATTCTGATCTAACTCATTGTTCATATGTCAGGCTGGCCGTAACTCAAGGGTCCACTGTATTAGAAACAAAGTCACATTATTAGGAAAAAATCTCACTTCTTAGAAAAGACACCAGTGACACAATCTAAAAGATAATAATGGCTCAGCAACTGATTCAAGTACTTGATTAAGGATCATTCATTTTGCTTGATTTTTACATTTAAAATTTCAATTCTAATTTTTAAAAAATTTAGTTTATCAAATGTAATTTCAGTGCTATTTTCTAAGAAATTCTCATAAGTTTTCAAAGTTGGTTTGAAATAGAACCACAAATATAATAAAGTCAAATTAAGGTTAATATGCACTTCAATATTAAGTGAATTCTAATTTTTAGAATTACCTCTTATTATCAATATTGTTATGGCATAAATAATCATATCCTAATCCAGTATCGACAGGAAAGTAGTTCTTTTCTTTTCTCTTTGTTTTTTTGAGACAGGGTCTCACTGTGCAGTTCAGGTTGGCCTTCATCCCACTGTGTAGCCCAGGCTGGCCTGGAACACAGGCACCATCCTCCTGACTCAGCCTCCTTGGTTGCTGGGATTACAGGTGTGCACCACCACGCCTGGCTAGGAAAGCAGTTTTCCCTGAGTGCAAATGAAAAGGCTGCAGAACACAGCCAAGCATGCTCTGCTTTGCCGGTAAAAGCCTGCAAGTCCTGCCGCTTGCGTAAGACCCAACTAACAAACACGGTGCCGTTGAATAACTAAATCTGCACTCTTCTGGATGTGATTCAGTTTTGCACTAGCTCTGAGCGGACCCTGTTGTACTGTGTGCTTCTTCTCACTCCCTTGCAGTTAACATATGCTACTTCTGTCGGAGACTAAGTGGAACAAAAAGAGATTTAACCTCTCCCTTGGAGTGATTCCTGTGGCGCGCTTGTGGGCCTGAATCTTGACTAATGTCATCTTTAGAAATTGCTGACAACTACGAGGAGATTCTGCAAGTAGGATCCTCATAAGAGGATATTCCTGGTGGGACATAAGTAATTGAATATCTTTTCTTTGATCTCTATGGTTAAAAGTGGTGAAATGTCATGAAAAATGGATAACTGTGTATTTGACATGCATACATGTGTTCATTCAAAACCCACTTGCTAGAGCCTACTGAGTATCTGCTAAAGACCCTTAAAACTTTGTCCTCTTCATCCTTCTCAACTGTTTGGTCCAGCACTTTACAGTTGGCTGAGCCCTCTAAATATTTTTTAAAGCATGGAAAGGCACATGTTCCTTGGCAACATTGAAAATCTCTCACGTTTGCTGTGTAGGCCACATTACTGGGATGTCTTGCTTTTCAGGTAAGATACTGACGAGTTGGCTGTAGTTTTGCATGCCTGCTTTTAGTAGTGTTGACTGTGTACTTGTCTGGATGACACTGTGCTGTGGTCAAGAAGCTATTGTGCAGTTTTGACTAACTTATTCTATGTTTTATTAATAACCCGCCTTCCTGTACGCATATCCCACAGGCTGGTAATGAATGAGGTAAATATGCTATAGAGTTTGTGCCATTGTCCCTACTAGGGTAACTGATAAAATTTAAAATAATGCTCCTATCAGTCCTTAAGATACATTTTATGTTGCTTTTTTTTTTTTTTTGCTACCGGGGATTGAACTCGGGACCTCATGCTTTCGAGGCAGGCAGCAGCCCCATTGAGCTATATCCCTGGCCCAGCTACATTTTATGGTACCTCCTTCATGACCAGGTTAAATGGACAATGTGAAACATCGTAGACTTGGATGTCCGTGGACATTTAGAGAAGAACTAGTGTTTATTAATTTCTTCCTGTGACACACAGGGGTCCCTTCCATTGTGGGGGTCCAGAAGCTGAAGAAGATGCCAGCTGGCCCACCGTGTCACTCTACCTGGATACGAAGCCCCAGCAGAGGAAGCGGTTGAGGGACACATTAGGCAGCAGATGTTTAAGGCTCCAAAACTTACGCCAGTAGTACTTACAAGGACTTGTAGAAGGGTTGCTATCCATGGAGGAGACTTCAGAGAAAGTTTGTGGAGAAGCAGGGGTACTGGGATCCAAGTGGAAGAGTGCACGTGGACAAGGACCAGAGATACGGTGTTTAAGGTCACAATTTCAGGGTTCCAAATTCCATCCAGACACAGTACTCACCACACATGAAGGCCAGTATGTTCTACTGTGTTCTTGGGCAAAGAGGGTTTCCCATCACTGTAGCAGAGAGGGTAAGTTGAAACATAGCGCTGCATTTATTGTTACCTAACACTGAAAACTATGTATCTTAGGAACTTCCTCAGAGTTTGTAAACTTCTCACAGGCAGGCTCCATCTCCTTCCCACCCCACCTCCACACCTTCTGCTGTAACAACATATACAACATACTCAGCATGGTGTCTCGTCTAGGGAATTCAAAAATGTTTGGTAAATATATATCTGGTTGAACCCTTGAGCAACTTCACTGGGACAGGATTTCCATTGGTTCGTAGATGCTTTCTAGGATTACTCTTGATGTTAGGAAGTGAGGCAGAAGGGACCTAGAGTGCCTGGCTAACAGCCTTTGGTCAAGTTCAGTAAACACCTGTCATGTGCGCTTTGTATTTATTTGTTTAGGAACTCGTGGTTGTGGTTTGCTCTTTCCATGTGATGCGGTCTGTTTGGTAAGTCAAGGAGTGCAGTAGGGTGGGCCTGCCTCAAAGCAAAGTCATTGTAGACATCTCAAGTCCTGATAACTATTTGTCAGCACTTTGTGACCCAGGGAACCTCTTCTGTACCACTCATATTCTGATTTTGAAGATCTTGCTGCCTTTATTATTCTCAGTGATTATTTGTCAAGAATTTAGGAGCACATACTTCCTGCTTTAAAAGAGTCCCCTTTGTAATTTTTATAATGTCTTGCCCGAGATGTTTATGAGACACTCAGCAGCTGTTCCCATTCTATGAAAAATGAAGCGAGTAGGTTTGGCAGCTGTTCCAGTGTTGTTTGGGGATACGTGGGCCTGTACTGTTCTGTAGAGATGGAATGTATTAATCACTCCCCATTCAAAGGTTTCCATTTTGTTATGTGCTTTGGAGGGTGAAAAAACAGACAAATAGGAAGTTGTGCGCAGACCCAGAAAATGATTAAATTTTCTAATAATTATGCAAAACAACAAAAATAGTCATTTTGATATGCCTGCATTAAAAATTGTGCTGTGGATAAAATCTGCTTGTGGTTTAAATTTTAAGTTAGTGTGTGGTAAATTCTGGGAGAGGATGGGCAGAGTGGTGACAAGGTTGTAATGTTATGCTCAACTGTCTGTGGGACTCTGTGAAGGACCAGGTAAGTGAATAACTTTCTGAAGGACAGTCATTCTATTTCCCATCAGTTGGGTCAATGAGAGTCAGGTGCCACTTACAAATGCCTGATTTGGCATCTATTGGTTGAAAGTAAAAAAAAAAAAAAAAAAAAAGAAGAAGAAGAAAATTAAGACTCCTTAGTGTATTTAAACCAAAGAATTCATTGTTTCTTGCGACCTAAGAAGAAATGAAAGTTCACAGCAAAGCAACAAGGTTCTATGCATGAATTCCAGAGATACAATTCTGGAATTCAAGTTTTTAGTACATTTTTAGCACTGGATAAATATTGCTAATGAAATCTTTTGACAAACCTTATATATCACAGAAAGGATGCCATTTTGGTTGATGTTAGAGCCTAGAACCTTGACATTTCCTTTGCCTCGATTTCCCTTACCTCGATTTGTATTCCCCAAGGTGTTTATGGAAACCCTACAGGCCAGAGGGGAACTCTTGGAAATTGTTGATCAAAATAGCAACACTCCAAGGATTATGGAGTCTCTGACCAGTATCTTACATTCATTTTATCCTTGGCTCCAAAAGGATATGACCTCCAATTAATAGGTAATTGTTGAGATCAGCTTAAATAAAGTGAATGTGCTTTGGTAGGGGAAAACCTGTGCATCTTTTGATGGCATCTGCATTTCCCAAAATACTTTAATTACTTTTCATGATGTTCCCATGAGATAAGCAGTATTTTCATTTTTAAAATACTGTATTTTGATGTACTTTTGTAGAAGAGGAGGGAGAATAAAATAATGTGTCCCTTCTATTCTTCAGTCCGGACTGGTGACTTGTAATACTGTCTCATATATTTTCAAATTCTCTCACACATTTCAGTGAACAAATCATTGTACTTAAGATCTCTTCTATTTTCCCTTATTCTGTTTTCTCTGTCCATGACCATCGGGAACTGTCATAGTAAATTTCAGTATTTCTAATTTCTTTAAATGTTTTATTTTCTGTTTCATATTATACATCCATAAAATATCTTTTGTTTGATGTTTTTATAAATGACATTACACCAATTTATTTGTAAATCATGCTTTTTGATCTATCTTTTTGAAACTTGTACTGATACATATAGGTACAACTTGTTTTATCTGTTGTAAGGAAGGGAATTACCAGCTTACTCCAAATCATATAATAATTATAATATTTAGGTATTTTTCTTGGTTTTGTTATTGTTTTCAGTCAACACTGACCATTAATCAGCAGACTTGGCAAATGTGAAATCACATTGTTAAAAATTGGATTTAGTTCACATTGTGCATACATTCACACACACACACACACACACACACACACACACACACACACACACTCCTCAACAGTTGTTCTATGCCAAAACCTCTGTATAAGTTCCAAAGACTCCATGGACATTCCTAAGTTTATTATGGAAGCTTGCTGTTTGTTTTGGATATTTTTTTCTGAGAAATTTGAACGTTTATTCTTGCAGTCTCAAAGATGTATATAGCCTTTGATTTAAGAACCACTGACTTGAATGTTTTATAAAGTTCTTGCATTACTTTGGTTATTTATAGAATTAAAAACAATTTCAGTCAATAAGACAGAATTATTTTCAGGGTCTTTGCAGCTTAGGAAAATCATCTTTATTATTATTACTACTTTATCAAAGTAGGGAATGAACTATAGAATTGTGGATCAATCCATTAGTTTCATATGTCTTCAAGACTTTATAAACAAAGGCCTAACTTTGTGATCAGCATTTTCTAATAAATGTCACTGACTCATCATTAACTGAACTCAATACACCTAGAGTTTACTTCACACCTTCACTGGGAACCACTCATACTAGCACAAGGACACTGTCTTAGTCAATTTCTTCATCACTGAGGCAAAATATTCTACACCTGCAGAGGAGGAAAGGTTTATTTTGGCTAAGATAGCTGGCTTCACGGTAGGACTGCCGAGGGATATGGTAGAGAAAAACTGCTCAAGGCATGGTGGATAGGAAGTAAAAGGAGTCTGAGGGAGGAGTCAGGGAGGTGGCTGTGTCCCCAGTGATCTGCTTTTCCTACCAGATCCCACCTCGTAACAGCAAGTCTAGTATAATCCTTCATAACCCAATCACATCCCCAAAGCCCTGCCTATGGGCACTCACCCCCAAAAGACTCATGTGTAGCCCATTATGGAAAATGGATTTAGTGCATCTCTAAGAGTTGCCAAAGTTCTGACAGTTTCAGCATTGCTGAAAAGTCCATATCCCAGGTGTCCTTTGAGACGTAAGGCACATTCTTAGCTTTGAGCCTCTATAACATTCAAAAGAAGTTTAATATTGCCTACATAAGTAGTGGCACAGAGTAAATTTTCCATTCCAAAGGGAGAAGTAAAGGGATAAAAACCAATATGATCAAAGCAAGACCAACATCTAACAGGGCCACGTCCTATGTCCAGTGCCCAAGCTATGGTCAGGTGTGAATTTCAAATGACTTGGGTGGCTTTGCCCCTGAGGTGGTACTGGTGGTTTTAACTTTCATGGCTTTTATCTTGGGCTGGCTTTGCTCACTTCTTATGGCTGTCTGCAAATATTACACATTCCTGGCATCTTCAAATTCCTGGAGTCTCCACTGTACTTTGAGCTTCATTCTCCCAGGGTGACACCCTCCCCACTCAGGGGGGCACTTTCTGTCTTCCCGGGCTGTCTGAAATCTGAAGAGGAAAGGCTTCCTTCCCGGAAATGGAAGACTTCCTGACCGTGCAGTTAGTTCATTCTGCATGCCTGTAAAACCAATACCATATGGATAACAACAAGGTCTGCCACCAGCTTGAGCAGTAACCAGGCTCCTTTAAATCATAACTGCAGAGGTTTCTAATTGCTTGGATGGCTGAGCGCTATGAAGCAAATCCCAGGAACCAGTTCTTTGGGCAGACCTTGTCCAGCAGGGTGCCCCGAGGCTCTCTTAAAGCAAAGTCTTCCATTTTTCCAGGATAAGAGCATAATCCTGCTATTCCTTCATATGGCCTAAGGCCATTTTTCCCATTATCCTGATTCAAAGTATTTTTCTTCTTTTTGATGATAATCTTATCAGCAACCAAACTTTTCTCTGCTCCGTCTTTGCTGGCACTTTCTCTATGGTGAGACTTAAAACTTTTTAGGTAGACTTTTTGACCCTAATTTTCAATATAAACCTGCCTCAAAGCCTCCCAAAGCTATCCACACCATAGTCCCAACATTGGGTTTTCTTGAAATTCTCTCCATCCGATTTATTAGTTTACTGCCCTTAGTCTCAGTCTCCTGTTTGGTCTCACATCATGAGCAAAATGTGGGAAAAAATTTTGGAGAGAATAACACACATAGACTGGAGTCAAATTGCCAGTGAAGTCTTTGTGAAGTCTTTGTTGCCATGTGAAATCTCCTGAGCCGGCCCATCAGCTTTTGCATTTTAGCAGAATTCTTGTCTTCTAACCTCTGACCAGAGTCTCCCATCAATTTTGGCTTACAGCATTCTAGGGCTTCTCTAGCATGCATTTCCAGACTTTCCTACCTCCTCCTGAAAAACAGTTCCAAAGGCTTCTGAACCACGTAGTCAGACAGCATCACAGCAACAACCCCATTTCTCTGATGTCAAAATCTGTCTTAGTTGTTTTACTCATCTCTGAGACTCAATACCCAAGACCACTTTTAGGGAGGAGAGGTTTGGTTTTGGCTCACAGTTTGTAAATTTCTATCCCTAGCTCCAAGGCAGGAGTGGTGAGGTGGAAAGGCACAGCACACATGAGC